AACTCTGAACAAAGCTGAAACCAGGCCACCATCAAAAGCAGATATTTGTCTCAGAATGTAGTATACTTGCGTTTGAACTCAGGGCTACCACATTACTTGAACCACATCTCCAGCCTGGCTTTTTTGGTGCTATTTTGATACTTAGATATTCAAAATATCTAAGTGAACTTTTCTGTCTAGACTGGCCTTGAACCATGATTCTCCAGATCTCAGCCTTCTGAATAGCTAGTATTATGTGTGTGTAAATCCTCAAGGTGCAACAAGCAGAAAAACACTATTAGCTTTTTGTTGGTCACAGAGTTGTGTCCCTCAGGTAAACCAGCAGGCACTGCTGGGCAGGCTGCTGGCTGGCACACTCATTCTGCCTCCCACTGCAGGCCAGGACTTCCTCAACCCTGGATCAGCTTCAGAACCGTTCACTGTGGCCTGTGGGGTGATGCTCATCTCTGGCACACTGCAGTGGGAAGCCATTACCAGATAAGCTATTGGGAGTATTCTGATGTGTATCCACCACCAATGGCACCAATGTTTGCAAATTAACCAGAGAGAATGAAAACAGGAATGGGGGTAGGAGCACACAATGAGGATGCTAATCCTGACAGTGTTTCATTCAGCAGTGCTCGTTCTGTCTGCATTGCCTATCCATGAGCATCCTGGATCCTTTCCCTATGACCACTGTGCCTGGAGTCTTAACACTGGGGCAAGTTCTCAAGCTGGGTAACTCCCAATGGGTAGCTGCCCATTCCCGCAGGAAGCAGGAGCCACGACCGTGCCCGCGCAGCACCTTGTACGTGAGGAAGAGCGCCCCTGCCAACTCAAACCCCTCTTTTGCTGATATGCGTGTTTCCTTCAGGCCAGGTGTCTCCCTCCACGTGCTCCCCTCTGAGCGCCTCAGCCCGTCAGAGAGGCTCACCAGCAGGGCGCCTCAAAGACGGGTGAAAGTCAAGCCTAGTTTCTTGGCATCCCTCTAAAAGCCTGTGGTAGTTGGAATTTCTTGTGGATGAATTAGACATTCACAGATGTACTCCATTTAGGCTGCTGTGAAAAACGTCATTTCTCAGTTCCGGAGGCTGGGGAGTCTGAAACCAAGGTGCTGGCAGGTGCGTTTTCTAGGGCCCCACCTCCGACTCAGCTGATGGCTGTGTGACCTCCCTTGGAGGTCGGCAGAGGGGGAGGCCAGCTCCCATGTGCATTCATAGAAAGTACTAGTCCCCTCACCGGGGCTCCCTCCATGCCTCACACCAGCCAGCCTATTCCACCACCACCACCCCAGCGGCTCAGATTTCATGGCTCAAGCAGTAAAGGGCACAGATGTTAGTCTATCACAATAGGTACCCATGTGTGTGGTTCACAGTCTTCAGGTAGGTCTGGCGTAGATGGAGGAGGACACATGGCAGGATCTGTCCATGGGATGGAAACTAGAGTTGGAGGATGGTGTTAGCACGGCTAACACCAGCCTTAGTGAGGTGGGCCAAGGCTGTGTCCACACCACGATGCACAGGCACGGGGAAGGATGGGGGCCGTGGTTTGGTGAGTGAGAGGTGGTGAAATCAGCTGGTGGGTTTCATGGGTGTTCTCTGTCCTTGAAGCAATTCTTCCACCTACTACTTATATTTGAAGACTTTTTTAACTTAAAAAATTATCTTTAGGTAGTTGTACCAAGGAGTTCCAAGTCAACATGTCAACTTAGGAGTTCAACATATTGACCACCATTATCCCTTCCCTCTTCTCCCTCATCTCCCAACTCCATGTCTTCCCTCAAGTTACCTGGTTCCATTTCCTCATGTGTGTATTCAATGTTAGGACTGCATTTTCCCAACCTCCTCCTCCTCCACACCTCTGCTTCCTGGTGTTCACTGGATTGAACTGGAGTCAGTGCGAAGACTTTGTGGTGAATGTTGGTGAGTACCTGTGCAAAAAGATGGGATTAAAGATGGATGTGTCTATGGTGTGAGCCACTGACACGCAGGTTATGTGTCTGATGAGAGCTGCCCAGGGAAGACCCATTCCAGACACGTGCAGAGAAGGAAGGAGCAGCCAGTGCAAGTGGAGAGCAGAGGTGAGGCCAGACTCAGGGAGCACAGGTCAGCAGCAGATGGGGGATTGCTTCTCCTGGGCATGGGGGTCTCACTGACCTGGGCTTCAGCCTGGCTTGGGATGTTACTGGTTACTCTCAAATCTCTCCTCACCAGGAAGTAAGGGCCATTGTCACGCACTAGGGAACTCAGTGCCTGGGGACCAGAGGCCACACACTACTGCTTTGAACATTATTGTACCTGTATATTTACTTATATTGTTGATGTCTTTTTAAGCATTCATAAACATCATTGCTTCAGTCTACAGAATTTCCATAGCATTTCTTTTAGAGAGGGTCTGCTGGCAATGAACTTCCTGGGCTTTTATGTAAAAGGTCTTAATTTCTTTATTACTGAAGGATAGACTAATCTCAGTTTTCTGTTTCTAAATATATCAACTCCCCACTCTGGTCTCTGTAGTTTTTAATAAGAAATCAGCTGCTAGCCAATTAAGGTTTCCTTGTTTGTGATTTGTCCTTTTCTCTTGCTGCTTTTCAAATGCAGGCAAGGCCGGGGGTCAGAGCGCCGAGAAGCCCCTGAGCACGAGAGAGTCCAGCTGACCCCACCAGCCTGGCCCCCTCTCACCTCTGGCTCTAGGAAATAATGGGCTGTACTTTCCAATTCTGGACAGCCAACAGGGCCACGATGCGTGTTCCTGCAGTGTAGGATCCTGAATTCACAGCATGTCAGTGAATGCTGCGCACACAGGTTTTGAAACTTGTGTGGTGGTTTTGGTTGTTTTTGTTGTTGTTGTTGAGCTAGTCTTGAAATGGTGCTCAGGCTAGCCTTGACGTAAGCTTAGAGTACAGGTATCATGATTTTATGCCACTGTACCAGCTGAAAACAATGGTTGGTTTGCTTTTATTTTTGCCTGAGAACTTGAAGTTTTATTGTTGTTATTATCTTTAAGCAAATGTACAAAGGGGTTTCGATTTAACATATCAGATGTGAGTACAGGGCATCTTGGTCATTGTCACCCTTTCATAAGTGGGAACTGTTTAATAGATCATATCATACAGGGGACAAAAAGGAATAAAAAATTTGTACTCTAAGGCTGGGAAGGTGGCTCAAGTGGTAGAACACTAGACTTGAGCTGAAGAGCTCAGGGACAGCGTCCAGGCCCAAAGTTCAAGGCCCATGACCTACAAAAAACAAAAACAAAAAAAAAAAACCAAAATGTTTGTACTCTATAATGGGCTGTCTCCTTCCTGGAAGCACACCTGGCATCTTCCTGCAATAAGTACCACACAGATACTGTTTTTGTTTATGTTTGTTTATTATTGTTTGGCCAGTCCTTGGGGCTTGAACTCAGGGCCTGGACTCTGTCCTTGAGCTTCTTTTGCTCAAGGCTGGCACTCTACCACTTGAGCCACAGCACTACTTCTGCCTTTATCTGTGTATGGGGTACTGAGGAATTGAACCCAGGGCTTCATGCATGCTAGGCAAGCGCTCTACCACTGAGCCACCTTCCCAGCCCTGTTTTTATTTTTTGATGGAACAGCACCTCTTGCAAATATGTTAATAGAAACATAATAATGAGCCATGTTTTCTCAGCACCTCATTTGCACTGTTAATAGGTTCCAGGTAATGGCAGTGCTTGGAGCTCTGGGACATAAAACATCTTTTCTCCATCCCCGCCCCTCCCAAGCAAGGACTAGGCAGAGAGGAATCTCTGGCCACTCCCAGAATGGAAAGGTCCAGAGTCTCTGAGAGAAAGATGGGGGTCAGGACCGCCACCCCGGGGGCAAGTTGTCCCCACACCCCGAACTTCAGAAGCACCCCTCACACACGGGCCGTGTGGCCCCTGCCCTGGCTAGTGTACTGAGGGGGGTGTCCCTGCTGAGCACGGCCGCTGAGCCTGGGAGGGCTGGTGGCCTGTAACGCCGGGAAGGCAGAGGCCCTCAGCATTCACCCGCCTGGCGGGCAGCAGCCCTGACCCAGAGCCGCTCGGAGACATCGGCAGGGGCCCAGCTCCCAACCCTGGGACCCATGGGTGGAAACGGGAGATGGTGTCCTATGCTGGAGGCAGTGTCCCTAAAGGAGGTGATGTCCCCAAAGGAGGCATTGACCCCGCGGGAGGAGGTGTCCCCACCGCGGTCCGCGTTCCCATCGGCCCGTGCGGGCCGCGTCCTCACCGCACGGAGTCCT